AAAAAAAAAAAAAAAAAAAAAAAAAAAAGTAACAAGAGAACAAGCTAAATGGGGAGAATGAGGGCAGAAGTAGAGAATTTTAGAAGCCAAATAGAATATAATGTAGAAAACAAGCTATTATAACTTTCTCAAGATAGAAAGAACACTGAAAGGCTATGCTTTAGTACAATTAATCTGGACATTAGATTATAAGAGGAAAAGACTTGTTTAAAAAAAAAAAAAATTTTAGGTGCTAGATACTTTTAAGTATTAGGAGCAGGGGATGATTAAGAGTGAACTAAGGACAACAGGGATGAAAAGGAGGAAATCCAAGAATCAGACTTAGTGAACTTAGTATTAGCAGCATGGTAGCAAAGGAGAAGAGTAAACCAGGGATGATATGAAGATATTAAGGATTATAGAGGTGAGAAGTAATAAACTTAGCAAGTGTATATTATATGTTAGGCAGCAAAACAGCCATATAACACATTAATTAATTATCCTACAAGTTCTGTGAGGTAAATATCCATTATAGGGATAAGAAAGCTGATGTCCAGAGTGACTAATTTGCTTTGCTAATAAGTGACAGGCAGCCCTGACACATAAGCTGATATGACTATAGAGATAAGAGGGTGTCAGCACAGTGGTTAAAAGCCCAAAGCTTAAGGTTGTCTATCTGGGTAACAAGCTTTGCCAGTTACAAGTTGTGAGGCCTTACCGTGCTTCAGTTTTCTCACCTATAAAATACAGACAATAAACTAACCAATAAAATTGTAATGAGGATTCAGATAATGCATGTACAGCACTGTTAATAGCTCTATTAAACAGTAAGCCTTCAATAAACATTTGCCATTATTATATCAGTATAATAGGCTGGTATCATTAACATAGGAAAGACCCAGTTTTGGAAGGGAAAATATTAAATTTAAAACAAGCTAAGCTGGAGGAGGCTTCTAAGTAGGTATTTTCAGAGAAATGAAAATGAAAGATAAAAGCAAAAAGATGAGATAAAAGAAATATCTATAAAACCCAAGATAAACCTAATAAAGTCATGGACTTTATTAGGACAAAGAAGATGCCTTTAAAAAAGTTATTAATATAGGTAGGCAGAGAGAAGCTATATAAAATTGTAAAATATAACGGGTAATGTACAGCAAATATGTAAGGCAAACAAATGATAAAGAGCCATAAAAGTTTTTTAAAAGAGAGAGAGGTTCCTATGCATTATGACAGCCTAAGAAGATAGATGTGGCACACACAGGATCTTGGAGAGCAAAATTTAGACAAAAAAAGACACTTGCGGTGGCTCACGCCTGTAATCCCAGCACTCAGGGATGCTGAGGCGGGCAGGTTGTGAGGTGAAGAGATCGAGAGCATCCTGGCCAACAGGGTGAAATCCCGTTTCTACTAAAAATAAAAAAAATTAGCCAGGCATAGTGGCACACGCCTATAGTCCCAGCTACTCGGGAGGCTGAGGCATAAGAATCACTTGAACCTGGGAGGCAGAGGTTGCAGTGCGCCACGATTGTGCCACTGCACTCCATCTTGGCAACAGAGCAAGACTCTGTCTCAAAAAAAAAAAAGAAAAGAAAAAGAAAAAGAAAAAAAGACACTTTGGGAGGTCAAGTGAGAGCACTGCTTGAGGCTAAGGGTACAAACCAGACTGGGCAACACAGCAAGACGCCAGCTCTACAAAAATATACAAAATATTAGCTGGCTATGGTGGCCTCTGTAGTCCTAGCTACTCGGGAAGCTGAGGTAGGAGGATAGCTTGAGTTTAGAAGTTTGAGGTTACAGCAAGTTTTGATCACACCACTGCACTCCAGCTGGAGTGATGGAGCAAGACCCTGTTTCTATTAAAAAAAAAAAAAAAAAAGTTAAGAAAGGGAAAAATGAATGGAGTAAGAAAGAGGGGGATACTCCTAGCCAAGAGAGCAACATGAACATGGCAGACAGAACACTCATGGCATGTTTTAGAGATAGCAAAAAAAAGCAGCTTAATTGGAACAATAATTTGTACACAGAAGAAACAGAGAAAGGGCCAAATGCTAAGTTTTAAAATTCAAGTTCTAAAGAGCTTTGAATACTAAATAAGCAATTTTTCCTTTCTCTTCTAGCATCAGACTTCTATACCTACATAATCTACTTCTAAAAAAATTAAACTTGCTTTGTAACTACTGTTCTATTCTTTGCTCCTTTTATTTTATAAGCTAGCAAATATCAAATGTAATTCTCATGGGATTAGGTAAGAATCTTCATATAAATATATTTGCTGTCACTAAAGCTTTCTCGTTGAATAGATATTTTTTTAAAGTTTCTTCGTATTTTCAGTTTTTTTTTTTCTTTTTTCTTAAGACAGGGTGTCACCATATTGGTGAGGCTGGTCTCGAACTTCTGACCTCAGAAGTTGATTTGCCCATCTCAGCCTCCCAAAGTGCTGGGATTACAGGTGTGAGGCACCACACCCGGCTCGTATTTTCAGTTTTAAGAACATCTTTTCAAGTATTTTAGAAACATCTTTTGGATTGGATTTTAGAAACATCTTTTCAAGTAACTGAATTCCTTTAAAAGAAAGGAAACTCTAACTGATCATGACTAGAAAAGGCAAACGCATCCATTTTTTAACTAAAAATACCTAATCAGAGTTTAGAACTTTCCTTTTGGCACCATTCCCTGCATTTTTCTGACAGCTAACAGGTACTGTTCTAGAACTGAAATGTTATAAATACATTATTATCAAGAATTCATACTATGAAACATATTGAGAATCAAAATATATTTATATCAACAAGAACATGTGAACCAACCTCACTATTAAAACCTTTGGACTAATTCAGAAATAATAAAGAAAATTTTACTAAATCATAATAAAATTATACCAAATATTTGGGCATATTTGGTTTTAGAAAGTTTAATTCACTACGAGACCATATTACAGGCACATGTCTGAATATAAATCTTGTCTGTATGTTTGTATTTTCAAAAATCATAGTTGTTTTTTCTTTCACCACTTTGTTACCAATTAGTTCATAGTAATGTTTTCCCTAATATCAATTAGTTTACAGTAATACTTACCCTAATATTTTATTCATTCCATGTCTAGCAGCATAATGCAATGGAGTATTGTGCTGGTAGGGTTCCCCATAAGATGTATTTGGATCAAGGGATTCTTTTAGCTGAGGATTGTTTTCATATATTTGGCAGGCCAAGTTTTCATCACCATTGATGAGTGCTTTACGAAATTTGGTAGTTGTATTTCCCATGTTTTGTTTTGTTTTGTTTTTTCTGATAGGCAGTGGCACTTTTTTCCTTCTATCTTCAGCCACTTCTGGAACACTTCTGCAACATCTTTCACATTCTAATGAAGGAAGAATTATTCAAATTAGATTGTAAAACAATAAGCACAAAAGAAACAACACAATTAGAAACACTAAAAAAATCTGGGAATCATTTATAAGGGAACCAACTATATTATATTACATTTTACCAAATTATCTTAAGAGTAAAAAACTCAAATTTTTAACACTGTCCAAATTAACTTCTTGTTAAACTATAACATTTTCCCACACAGAGACTGTTAAGGTTTCACAGGCTGTCCTTTGCACTACAAAATTTAACCACATATATGAACTTTTCAATTTTCCTCTTCACATGGGCAGAAATGAGCTTGACTGAATTTTATGGTTGAAAACACTTAAATTTCTGCATAAATTATGTATAAATCTTACTCAGCCAATTTGAGGGATAATGAAAAATGTAGGAAATTTTGCCCAAAGAAGAACTGCAAAAGAGGTGTTAAAATGCATTAAGGGAAAAGTGAAACTGCTCAGTTCTTTATGAGGACATCACAGAAAAGATATAAAATGTAAACATACAGGAATATACAGTTCAATGATACTCAGATAATCATAGAAAAGTACTAAAACTGATTATATACAGAACAACACAAACTGATTATTCTACCATTTAAGACTACTAAATTTATTTCTTTCTGCTATACAGAATTCAAAACAAGTCTGGAAACATCAAATGTTTATGCATATTATATTTCGAAAGAGGTTAACATAATGATCACATGGGCAATGGGATTACTAATTTAATTACTACTGAAGCAATGTAAAGTGAGTGGAGGAAGGTCATAGAAACAAACGCTGGACATGGAGTTCAAAACACCATATTTACCTACAACTGGTTGTGTAATTTTAAGCAATTTATTCATCCCTTAAAAGCCTCAGATTCCCATTTGCACAGTATGGAAAGTGATCATTTCTTAGGTATAGCTATGATGATTATAAGAGTTAAAGTACCTAATACAGTCCTTAATGAGTTTAATAAATGCTAGTTTCATTCTATTCCAATAAAATGTTGTTTCTACATCTATTCTTGAACTATGATGAAAGTTAGTGACAAAGAAAACAGCATATGCCAAGGCAGGTATGAAAAAAAAAAAGGCCTACGCAAGGAACAGTCAAGTATGAATGGAGTTCGGAGTCTCTAGCATTAGACTAAAAAGAGATAAAACAAAAAATAGGTTGGGACCAGGTAAGGAACTTACACTTTAACCTGAAATGAACAAATAATTAAAGGCTTTTATGCAGAGCAGTGATATAATTATTTCATGCTTTAGAAAATTATTGTGACAGTGTAGAAGACAGAATAGAGGGAGGAAAACTTAGAGGCAGAGAATACAGCAGTCCTTCATGTTACTCTATTAATTCAGTGGCAGGCTGGACACTAAAACATAGCTTTAAAAAACAGGCGATGGGTGTGGTGGCATGTGCCTATAATCTCAGCTGCTTGAGAGGCTGAGGCAGGAGGATCATCTGAACCTAGGAGTTTGAAACCAGTTTGGGCAACATAGTAAGATCTCATCTCAAAACAAACAACAACAACAATAACAACAACAACAAAAACACATGTGAAAATAATACACACAGTATTCAACATAGTCTTTGTATAGAGTAGTTCTTAACCTTGGCTATATATCATAATAACCTGGGGAACTTCAGAGTCCTACTAAGCTACATCTCAGAACAAAAACTGGAGTCTCTAGGGGAAGCACGCAGGCATGGGTATTTAAATTCCTTATGTGATTTTCAATGTACAAACACCATTGTATAAAAGGCTCCTGGAACCTTGCAGCTAAATATCAGGGTAAGATGTCTGCCAAGCCTAAGTGGGAGGTAGGTGTTAACTACCTACTTACTACAGCAGCACATTTTCTGGCCCACTACTAGACATAATGAGGTCACCGTTTGGGTTTTTTTAAGGGTTCTTTATTATTGACCTTTTTTATTTTAAATATGCAAATACATACAAACTAGTATTTTTTTAATATATGAACAAAGAGGAAGAATTTTAAAACTCATGGTTTACTGGAAGAAAGCCACTGGTAGTATTTTGATATATAACCACCCTATTTAAGAGTGTGTGTGTGTGTGTGTGTGTGTGTGTAAAATGTGTATGCATATACAAACCATAAATATGTATACATTAATTGGATCATATGACATCAGTTTTTATTTAATTTTTCAGAAGGTTGCTAAACCTTTAGCCTAAAATAATACACTTTTATTGTTTCATCTTGAATAAGAGGGGCAAATCCTTCACTCCCGCACTATTCACAATATACCACAGCTACTATTTGGAAACTTTCAGTTGTTTTGGTCCTTGATAGAATACAACTCAAATTATAAACATTTTCAGAATTCTGAATTAGATTAATAAGTAGTACCTTTTCTGAGATTCATGTTATTACTTTAGAGAAATATCCCATAAGAAAAATAATTTGCATCTAAGAAGAAAAAAAAGAAGTATCTAAGAAAGTAATGTTATCTCGGGGTACTCATTTAAAGTAACAAGTTTTTAGAAAAAAAATCAATAATACTTTAAATGTGTATTAAATATTACTGTTACTCAGTTGAAAGGATAATGGTATCAAGAAGTCATTTTATGGCTTTCGGTTATTTTCATGTTTGTTTCATTTTAAAATTTTGATCAATAAGCCTGAAAGTCACTAATAAATACATCATTTAAACAGTCACACTTCAATTCCCCTCAGATTTATCTTCACAAACTTTGCCTAAAAATTTGCCAGATGTATCCTTTTGCTTTTTCCTAGCCACAGCTACTGCTGTGATGACTGTTTCCTCTTTGTTTAAATTAAAACCTTAATATTTCTCAAACTCCAAGATATGTCTATGTATAGAGCTTCATGAGGCAAGCACTGGAGTACCAAAGAGGTAAATAGAATTCCTTATTTTGGGCTTCTAATTATTTAAAGGAAAACCTGGGCAAGGTTTCACCATCTTTTGAGTAGTAAAGCACAATACTTGAAAAGTATTTAATGAAAAGAAGACAAATGTAGCCTGCTGATGAACTCCAGAAAGCTTTACTTCATTTCTGATTCACTTTAAATTGTGAATGTCTTTATAACTCTAGCTTTCTTTTTAAAAATTTTTACTTTTGTGGGTACACAGTAGGTGTATATACTTATGGAGTACATGAGATATTTTGAAACAGGCATGCAATGCATAATAACCACACCAGGGTAAATGGGGGATCCATCAACTCAAGCATTTGTTCTTTGTGTTACAAACAATCCAATTATACTTTTTTTTTTTTTAAAATGAGATGGAATCTCACTCTGTTGCCTAAATTGGAGTGCCGTGGTGTAATCTCAGCTCAATGCAACCTCCACATCCCAGGTTCAGGCGATTTTCATGCCCCAGACTCCCCAGTAGCTAGAAATACAGGGATGCTCCACCACACCTGGCTAATTTTTGTATTTTTAGTAGAGATGGGGTTTTGCCATTTTGGCCAGGCTGGTCTCGAACTCCCGACCTCAGGTGATCCGCCCACCTTGGCCTCCCAAAGTACTGAGATTACAGATGAGAACCACTGTGCCCAGCCCATTATACTGTTCCAATTATTTTCAAAATGTACAATAAATTCTATAGTCACCCTGCTATGCTAGTAAGATCTTAGTCATTCTTTCTATTTTTTGTACCCATCAGCCATCCCCACTTCACCTCCACCCTGCAACAACACTTCCCAGCTTCTGGTAACCATTCTTGTACTTTCTATCTCCATGACTTCAATTACTTTTACTTTTAACTCTCACAAATAAGTGTATAATTCTAGCTTTAAATCTCTGTCTCCCAGTTGCTCCACTGATAAGTTAATAATCTGTAGTAAAAACCTAAGGGTACTTAAATTAACAAATTACTCCCAGAAATCTTTTAGAGAAGATGAAGTTCTTCAGAAATAAATAACCAAATCCTAATTCAACTGTTCCCATAAAAGTATTTTTAGTAAAAACAGTAACTGTATAAACGTATATAACTGACTCCCATTCTTTATTTTCACTGGATATAGGTCACACACATACACTCTTACTCAATTCAGTCTTCCGCAACGATCTACACTATTGATAATGACAACCTTAAATCTACAACTAAACCTTTAGCCAGTATAGCAACAAGCAGAAAGTTCATTCAGGCAGCAGGTCCCAACACACACACACACACACACACACACACACACACACACACACACTCTCATACACATACTCAATTTACTCTTCTCCAATTATCTGCACTATTGATAATAACCTTAAATCTGCAACTAAACCTTTAGCCAGTATAGCAACAAGCAGAAAGTTCATTCAGGCAGCAGGTCCCAACACACACACACACACACACACACTTTCATACACATACTCAATTTACTCTTCTGCAATTATCTGCACTATAGATAATAACCTTAAATCTACAACTAAACTCTTTAGCCAGTATAGAAACAAGCAGAAAGTTCATTCAGGCAGTAGGTCCCAATATACACACACATACTTTCATACACATACTCAATTTACTCTTCTGCAATTATCTGCACTATTGATAACAACAACTTTAAATCTACAACTAAACTCTTTAGCCAGTATAGAAACAAGCAGAAAGTTTATTCAGGCAGCAGGTCACAATACAACCCCATCCCACTCCAGGCTGAAATCAAACAGATGAGTTTCTAAGATTCCAGGAAGCTCAAATTCCAAAGAAATGCTCTAATGGTTACTGTAATAATACTTAAAGAAGAGGGGAGGATGGGCTGGGCACAGTAGCTTATGCCTTTAATTCTAGCATTTTGGGAGTCTGAGGCAGGAGGATCCCTTGAGCCCAGGAGTTCAAGACCAGCCTGGTCAACATGGTGAAACCCTGTCTCTACAAAAAATACAAAAATTAGCCAGCTGTGGTGGTACGCCCCTGCAGTCCTAGCTACTTGAGAGTCTGAGGTGGAAGAATGGCTTGAGCCCAGGAGGCGGAAGTTGCAGTGAGCTGAGATAGTGCTACTACACTTCAG